TGATGGGTTTTGTGTTGATCAGACAATGATATTGCAAAGATTTTAGTTAAGTTTGTGATTCTCCAATTTGTTAAATTCTCTCTTCAAAACAATTTCGGATCACTCAAACAGTATTGTGATTCTGAAGATACTACTTTAAAGTGTAAACTCAAACTGAAATGTTTTTCAGATAAATACAAAACATTTATTCTAGAACTTGGAATCACTATGATGATAAACACACTTCATAAATATACAATCAATTTAATTTCAATATAAATCAAGCATTCTGTGTTGATGACCCTACAATCCATGTTTTGGGGTTCCTTTTTTCTACATATTTTTATCTAGTCTTAAAAATTTTAATGTTATATTTGTTTTTCATTTTGTTTTTATATTGATGTTAATTAATTGATACCTATGTTCAGAAGGACCTGAAAAAGATCAGGTTAAAGTGTCTTAATTAGGGGTGCACCGGATAGTACTTTTTGATATCCGGCCGGAGCCGGATATAACCGGATAGTAAAATTAGATATTCAGCGGGAGCCGAATACCTACATGACTCAAACAGCTCGTTTTACTGAAGTTTTTGCGAATCTTCTATATAACGTACCTATATTCATATTATTTTGTTATTACTTTCTTACTTTAAACTCTATCACTGATTGATAAATTAAAATCAACATCATTTTTTTTTACAGATATGCTTATCATAAACTAATCTTTGTAACATGAGATGGTGTGTGCGTATGTATAGACCGCTAATTGTAAAGTAGAATGTGGGATAACTCATGCAGAATATATAAACTTATATGTAACTAATGTAAATCTTTCAAAGGTAAAGTTCAATCTTGGTTTTATAGCGTAAATCTCTCATAAGTACAATCTAAGTTGTATAGTGGGTAGATGTTTGTGTTCATGTATTTTACACCATCAACTTGTCATTAGGCACGTGTTTTAAAGGCCACAAACCGCTTCTGGTTTGTACCTTATACAGATAGTGGCTTAGTAAATATCTTAAGTAATTCCAGTAATAACGAGGAGTTACTTGACACTCTTAAATATTACTTGATGCTGATTTCAATGCAGTCATTTCGTTGAATAAGTCTGGGTGTTTCGAGCGTAGATGACTAATCATATTGCTGGTTGAGATGTCTTTAGGTTTGCCTAGTTTACCACGTGACAGAACTATTTTACAAGCATTGCAAACTGCTTTAGAGTTGTCCATTGTTTTGACATTAAAGTAACGCCAGATAAGTGATGACTTTTTATCAGCCATTATTATTACTTTTCAATTTACTAAATGCCCTTACAAGCCACTTTTATACCCGTGGCTTGTGTAACAAAATACTTGTAGGGGTGTGTCCTGTAGTTCAGCGCTCTAATTGACATTTCTCTCCAAGTAAACAAACTTAGTGTCATCTAGTGACCTCTAGACAGTGTCAATATGTCTTAACAATTTGCGTTAATCCATTCTGGCTTAAGAATGGTCAATGTCTATATTCTCTATCAATACATTGTCATGGATTAAACAAATAAGAAGTTGGGGGTGTTGAGTCTCTTGAGCCCTCCCTTTAAAGATACCCTTGGTCAGTGTCTGTTTGGCTTGTAGTCCTGACTCATAATTAAGACTTAACTCAAAGTAAACAAACTTATTACCCGTCCAATAGTATAAAAGGTGTGGTTTGTGGTCCAGACCCTTGATTGACAACCTATCTCATAATAAACAAACTCATAACAAATTAACCTTATAGAGATTTGGCTTGTAGTCCCGCCCCTAATAAAAATTCTACTCCAAATAAACAAACTCAGTTCCCTCATAAGATGTGACGTCTAGACAGTGTCAACACGTTGACATCTGGCTTAATGTGGTCAGCTGCCTATCTGTGAACTCAATGTTATGGACTAAACAAACAAAAGGAAGTGGGGGTGGCTCATCTCTACCTCTGGAGATATACCCGCACATCTAGACAGATTATCAGCGTGACGTAGTTAAGGAATATGACATGTTTACTAGACCACTCAAAGGTCAAGACAAGCCAGTGTGCCAGACATCGCTGCTACGTATGTAATACGAATTTATAATGTAAAGTCTAGTCCCCCCCCCCCCCCCCCCCAATAACAAACCTAGTTCCCTCGTGTGACCTCTATAGAGTGCTTACGTCCATCGTATCTGACTTGGGGTCACCTGTCAATCAATGAACTCAATGTGATGGGCTAAACAAATAAAAGGGGGAGGGAGTTGTTCATCTAGAAATATACCTGGTTACCTTAGAGGTGTGGCTCTTGTAGTCCAGCCCTCCCCCCCCCCCCCCACCCCAAATAAAGATTAACTACTAAGTAAACAGACTCAGTTCCCTCGAAAGGTGTGACCACTAGAGAGTGTCTATACGCTGACATTAAACCTACGTCCATCGTATTTAACTTGTGGTTACCTGGCTATAAAAAAACTCATGTGATGGACTAAACAAATAAAAGGGGGTGGGAGTTGGTCAGCATGACGTAGTCAAAGAATGTAACATTTTAACATGTTAACTAACTTACTCAAAGATCAAGACAAATTGAAAAAGTGCCAGCCATTGCATCTCTGTATGTAAAGCGCATTTATGATGTAAAGTTTCATCTCTATTTATATTAAGTTATTAACATGCCTTGTTTTTATAATAAACGATGTTTGGTGCATATTTATAATGGCTCTATTTTTAAGCACATTATTTTGTTTTCATATAAACATTAATACATTCTATAACAGACTGTAATGGAACGAGGTCCACTTTATGCATATTAAATAGGTGTATTTTGTTCTATCCGGTTTACTATCCGGTAGTAATATCCGACTGGAGCCGGATAGCACCGGATAGTAAAAAATGCCAGATATTTGCCAGAAGCCGGAGGGACTATCCGGTGCACCCCTATTCTTAATCAATGTTTTCTCATTCAACTTTTGGAGGTGGCTGAGCAAAGGATTTCAGGGGCCCTTGGAAAATAAAAAAATATATATTTTTAGGTTGGCTTATAATTTTTTTTAAGGCATGGAATCCAAGCTTAGGAACTGCTAATCTAAATGAACTATCACCTCACCTAAAGCATTATTTGATTAGTTAGTAATAGAAATGTTTGTAAATGGATTTGATTTGTATGTATGAAAACATCAAATTTTAATTTTCACAAAATCAAAAAGCTGTTATTTTTTTCATGAATTTTACTAACTTACAATGGCTCAGTTTTACTGAATTTCTAGATCCTATCTAAATAATATTTATCAATCTTATGCTAGATTTAGAATGTAGGAAGTACTCACAAGATATGTAACCTCTTTTTTTATTTAATCATGCTTGTTTGAAATATAATATTTTATTGGTAATGCTAAATGGATGTTTGCAATTTATTTTTGCCAAGCTCATTATGCATATACAGAAAGAATATGAGTTTCAAATGTACTTTTATGTTTGCAGAAAAAATGTTCAACTTTGTCTTTTAAATTTTATGTTATCACATATATCTATGAATGAAAAAAAAATTTCTATATGAGGCTGATTTGTGAACATTTCATTAATTTTTATAATTTATAGAATGAAATAAGCACATAAACAGAAATTTTGTTTTAATGAGAAGGAAATTTTAGCGTTAGGGCAGTGATGCCAAAACTAAGGCCTGTGGCCCATATAAAGCACTTGATGTGGCACTTTAAAACTCTTGGCTGCAATGCATAATGTTTTCTTATAATTATGTGGCCTGTGACATACTTGTAGGACATTTCTATGGATTCCAAGATGAAGAAATCTGGGCTCGACTGTTAGGCTATATATATATATATATATATATATATATATATATATATATATATATATATATATTTTTTAGGCCTGTATCAATTCTACCAATATATATTGTATGTTGAATCACACATAAGATATATGTGTATATAGAAAAAGAGGAGTGTGTGTTTAAAAAATATTGCTAATACAGTGAAACTGAATAAGTATTACCTTTCTTGGTGTTCATATTCAACTCTTCTTTCAATGTCTTGACTGACATTCTTTTTTACTGGTGCCTAAAGATTGGAAGTGAAATATATTTATATATGTATACATTTTTATTTATATGTATATTTAATGCATATTTGTATCTGGTGTTAGCTTCAAAGAGGAAAAAAAAATTAAAATATAACATTTTTAACAACATTCTCAAATGGTGCTATGAAATTGTATGCAAACCTATAGATAAATAGTGTATGCTATACATGTGATGGACAATTTTCTTATGAATTATTACATATGCTTTGTTCAGGATAAACTCTGTTTGCATTGAACAATTACTAATTAATTGATAGGTAGGCTGATTCTGAGGTCTATAAAGGACATGTACAGGTTATTTATATCCTCTCTTCTGGAGATACATTCTATTTGGTTGAAATTTTTTTTTTTGTTACATTATATCATAGTTTTATGGTTTTCTTCATTGTACTAGCTGTCCCAAAACTCTTCAATCTCATCTTCAAGTATGCATTAATCTATACATAGAATGACCTTGTTGCTATTAGTATGTTTGAAGGTTCCATCAATGTGTTCATTCTACCTTACATAGGGTAAATCTCTTTGGCTAGCACTAATTATGAGAGTCACACCTGATACTTTTAGATACATTGGAACCCTAAAGCAAACCTCTCATACAGTTCTAGTCATTTAGTTAATAGGGGTTTACACTTTTTTCTTGGCATTAGTTTCCTAGTAATCTATCAAAGTTGTCAATTTTTTTCTTTTTGTCCATTCCTTAAATTTGAGTCTGTTTTTGTAGCATTTTCAATATATTCTTGAGTTGTCTTTCCTAATTTAATGTTTCATTTAAGGAGCTATTTCCTTTAAAAGTTCAAACCTTTCCAAAATAGTAGATTCTTACATTGAAAAGTATGACTTAAGCTTATAGACTTATGAGGGTAGAAGAATTGATTATAGACTTATGAGGGTAGAAATATGGAAGAATTGATTATATACTTATGAGGGTAGAAATATGGAAGAATTGATTATATACTTATGAGGGTAGAAAAATGGAAGAATTGATTATAGATTTTTGCTCTTTGAAGAAAGTAATTTACATTACAAACACCATCATCCCATTGTTGGTTTAGTTGATTTTATGAGACTATGTTCAATGCAACTGTTCATGTGTGTACAATGTTAACTACAAAAACCTTTGCAAAAGAAAGGCGAAAAAGACAATGACTTTCCATGGCAAAATATGCAGGTCGCATCTGGGTTTGCATGGTCTCGTGAAACATTGCACTCATCCTTAATCTTTGGCATCAAAGACTTTGTCTTATTAGCAAGCTCCTTTGTAAAAAAGTTTGTTACATTTTTGTGCTTTATGTCTCAAATTTTGTGATCTAATCTTTTGTTTTAATCTGTGTCATTACAAAGTCTACAATGAACAGTTTGATTCACTTTTTAAGTAGACTGTTTGAACACACTCACTAGAGCTTACACTATGTACCTATTGCTCCTCATAATCTTCACTATGTGTATCATAATATTTGAAATCTTGACCAACAGAGTTCAAATTCTTTCTATAGCTTTGATAGCAACCTGTCTGCAACTCTACAACTGTGACTTTGTCCCTGTGGGTTTGAACAGGCACATGATGATGATTGTAGGTTTTAGGGAATGTTAGCAACCTTGTCCTGGTAATGCTAACATGTGGTCCTAAGGTTAACAAATAGTTTGGGATGTTCTTAATTCTATCACTGTATTAGTATTTCTGTTAATGTATTGCTTGTTTTTAATTAAGTAGCTTTTCCATATTTTTGCCATTATTATTAATCTTGAGAAATTTAGTTATATATATGTAGTAATTTTTAAAACTTTTTGTTCTTTAGTTTAGTTGGGACATTATTTTGTATCTGTACACCAGATTAACACATAGAAGGTCTTATGAATAAAATAAAAACATGTTTTCATTTGAAATTTGTTTTAATGATTGAATCCTGTACTTCAAGCTATCTAGATCCTAGCAGGGCCGGCCTTAGGCCACTGCAACCTATGTGGTCGCAGTGGGCCCCGTGCTTTTATAGGCCCGTGCCAATTCTAAGTGTAAATTATTTAATTAAACCATTTTAATTCATGATTTTCAAGGGCCTCCAAGATATCTCTTAAAAAGGCAAAACATCCGAAAAGTCCTTGAAATCTCCTGAAATTATTAAAATCTGACATTTTTTGCGGTGCCAATAAATAAAAATAGCATTGTGAGCTTTCATTCAATAAAAATTTATTGCAGAGGTGAACGTATTTTCTAAAAAAAAACAGTGTCAGTTTTTGTTATCAGTGTCTTGTATGTCCTTTGTGATGATAAGATCACAAAATCTTGGCCCAGAGGGTGTTTTTTTTAGTTCTAAAATATTTTTAATTTTCTTATGAATGTTTCTCTCCAGCTATTGCATTATTAGTTCAGGAATAAAAGTCGCAGGATTGTATAATATATAGAACAATAAAAACAACACAGGATACTGACATATTGCAAAGAGAATTATGTTTTTCTACTCTGAACAAGGTTACAAAGACAGTTTGTGTGGAAACACAAACTGAAAATCGGCCCCCGAAGTAGTCCGCCCAGACAGGTAAAAAGGGAGGTTTCAGTTTTATCAGAATGAAACTCTATCAAAGACAAATGACAGAAAATGATGGAGAAAAAAAGGTTAACAGATCTCGTTTGGTGCCCCAGCGGTCCAGCAGACCAAAGGATAGGTGAATGTGAAGTTAAATGTGAACCTGGCCTAACTGATGTCTTATAATGAATATCTAATTGTTTTGTAAAGGGCCAATCTCTTATACCTCAAGAATAAAACATTTCCTTAAAAAAAAAAAAAAATTTCGTATCAACAATGCAGTTCACGCGATAATATGAAAAACTACTTATTTATTGTTGTTTAAAATTATGTCTGACTTATAAATAGATTTTTTTCTCTTTAAAAAAAATTTTGTGTGTAAATATAGTACTTACTATAACAGAACTTACATAACTTAACAATACAGATATAAAACACAAATTTGACAAAAAATCTACAACTGTTGGCCTAATTTTGGTAAAATATGATATGCACCCGTGCCCCCTAGTAAAGAGCCTCAAGTGTTTGTTACTATTAATAGTGAATCGTTGTAAAAGTGGTGTATTTTTAATGATAAAAACTGCTTGCATAAGTGATTTAAAAAATTAGATTTTTCGCTTTCAGAAAAGAAAAAAGTAGCCGTTGCATCAGAACATTGAATGGTCTAAAATATTATGATGTCAGATTTTCACTATCTTTTCTAGTTTACGAGATCTAAACGGGACTGACAGACGGACAGACAGACCGGCCACACAAAACTAATAGCGTCTTTTCCCCTTTCGGGGGCCACTAAAAATGCCAAATATTAAAGAGTAAAAAAAATATTTTTTTTTACAAATATAAACTAATAATCATAGTCATGGTAGACCAGTTATTAGAGTAAAAATTCAAAATATCTAGGTGTTATAATAAATGAGTAGTTATAAAATCAAAAATAGAATCCCCATGGTGACACAATTATTAAACAAGCAAAATAAAGAAAAGAAGGCTTATCTAAGGTCTAGAACTTTCATTTAAAACTATCTCTCAATAATGTAGAAGCTATTTTATTTATTCATGTTTTGTTTTGTACAATAAATTATTGTTTAAAAGTGTAATCTTGATCCAAGATTAGGCCTACATGTGTGAGACATGGCATGTGCAATTAACATAAGTTTCAAAACCCTATATATTTAGACATATATGTGTATATTGAAGGATTCATTCTCCGTCTTTAAAAAAAATTCAGTTAAATAAACCAATCGACATAATTACTCGATATCATCCACTAAGACCACTATATAAAACTCTTAATCCACCACTCATAACCACTAAGAAAATTTGACCTATTCTTTCTTAACTTAAGCCTATGAAAACCAAGATCTAAACCGCAGCTGTTAAATTTACTAAAAGGTTTTTATTTACAATGTCTATTAACTATGTATTTGAAAGCCGACATTTTAATGTCTAAAGTACAAAACAATAATTCGCTTAAGCTCTTATTGACACTTTTTTTTAGAGTGTACCGGCTAAAATAAACCCATATATCAATTATTTCATCTGAAGCGTAGCACTGGTATCAGCAAATGTATATATACATAGGCCTGTAAGCCTTTCTTCGCAGTATCTCCAGTACCGACATTCCAAACGAATATTCAAGGTTTTCTGGTTTCCACGTCACCTTGTACGTGTGAATCATTGTTGGGTGTAGACACACTGTCAACTTTTGTAGCCAGAATGTTATTTAACTGATGAATTGTTTTACTTTGCTTTAGGCGGGTTAACACATTTTGGGTCTCTTCCCATTTCTCAGATTCCTCTTCCACTAGATCTACATGCAGCCGTTGCTAAGGCCACCCAATCCATTTAGAAAACTAAGGGAGATAACTTTGGTCTACTTTTTCTCGTTTCACTTGGGCCATCCCGCGATCAGTTTGAGCGAGAATTTAAAGGGAAATTACTCATTCTTTTAATTCAGTTTATATAGACCCCTATCGGCTGTTTGAGTCTCGCCTTTCCACTGCCCTCCTTGTTCACTCCCTTTCCTTTTCATGACATACTTGACAATCGATCGACCGCAGCCCCTGTCACTTGTCCATGATAAATCTAAAGTAGAGCTTCAAACTATTGGAGACACCATATTTCAACCATTCACTTTTATAAAGCCATGTTGTTTTTTTTAAAATATTTTTTTGAAACCATAAATAATCCTGTTTGTCTAAAAATATATCACCCAACTGGCTCTAGGTACTAAAGCTGCAAAGTGAGTGACGCACATATACAATTCAGGTACCTTCGATCAACTCCTTTCACACTTTTATTGTTCACAGTGCAACATCTCTGCTTGCACACCTCAACTAAACGTAGACAAATGCGCACCATTCTATGCACTATTTTATACAAATTATGAACACAATTTTTTTTTGGGGGGTGTTGGGGGAATATCAACTTCCGCCCACAAGTAAATATCGAGAATGTAGTAGAAGTAGTAGAGAATGTGTTTTTTTTTTGTGGTCAGGCCTGGGAAAACAGAAGCCATAATCGAAGACGTGAAGCCGATTGGAGATCTAAACTTTTTTGAGGGATTGTAAACTGACCGGCCAAAATAGAAAGGGGGGGGGGGAGGTGAACGCCGCAAGACAACGCTATCCTGTGGTTTTGTAGCCAAAGACCAACTAGCCTTCTCCCTCTTTGGTTGAGCTTGCTGCAAAAGAATCAGGAAAACCAGTGACTTGGCAGAATTTAAGTCATTGGGTAATATGCATGACTGAATGCATGACGCGTAGGACGCAATCATCTTTTTTGAAGTAATGTCTGTATTATATAAGATAAGATAAGAACATCTTCTATAAAACAACCAAGTGACAAGATACTGCAGAAGATAATGTAGTCTCTATGCTTACGTAGCGCCTGGAACACCGAAAATTACAACAACAAAAAAGAAAGAACCAAAACGTAATCTTAAAAGCGCAAAATTCGATCATTTTGTTGAAAAACAAATTTTAAACCCCATTTTGGATTTTGGCTTTATCAATCGTCAGATGCCTTCCTGGCAACCAGTAGATGAAATAGATAAAAATCTGGCCCTGATCGCTCGTTTCGGAAACTTGGATTGGAATGTATTCTCTTTAAATTCCCCTTTCCCCCACCCAGTTTTTATTTCTTCTTAATCCCCCCCCCCCAATTTTTTCCCCGTCTCCTCTCCCGCCCGCCTTGTTCAATTCTTTCTAGTTTGTAATAAAGTCTATGACAGAACTGAAAGAGAAGAGAGAGGATATGGAGCACATAAGATTGGGAGAAACGATGCAAAGTTTGTGTTTTAACGTGTGGAATGATACATGAGTACATATTTCCCAGAATTGATGGGCCGAGCATTATGGGATTGTAAAAGCGAGCAACCATTTCTTTGTAAGCTGATAGCTCTTTGTTGTTCAACCATTTCTTTGTAAGCTGATAGATCTTTGTTGTTCAACCATTTCTTTGTAAGCTGATAGCTCTTTGTTGTTCAACACCCATTGCTACTTCTGTTTGATTTGACATCACTGTAGAACTCGTAGGCTTCTGACGTGACATATGTAGACTTTTGGCATTTTAAATGTGGAGTTTCTTTCTTTTTTCCCTAAGTCAACTTATTTTATGACATATGTAGACTTTTGGCATTTTAAAAGTGGATTTTCTTTCTTTCTACCTAAGTCAACTTATTTTATGACATATGTAGACTTTTGACATTTTACAAGTGGATTTTCTTTCTTTTTTTCCCTAAGTCAACTTATTTTTAATTGCCTTACGTCATAGTTTATTTTCATTTCCGCTTTCTTTTAGATGCGGTCGAAGCAAGAACCACAGTAACACTAATAGCATCAATTTCTTTCTTTCTTTTTTGAGATCTTTTTTTTGTTTTTTGTTTTTGAGACAGCAAAGACTATAGGCCTAATAATTTAGGGCGTGTGCTTTTGTAGATAAAATTAGCACTGTCTTTTTTCATTAGACATTGATCTAAAATTTAGAGGTCACAGCATAGTCACAGTGAATGTGAGAGACTATTTACAGACCTGTTGGATTATCAAATGTGTTTTCGGGGATGGGATGAAATCAGGTCCGCCACTATCTATATACTACATGGCACAAAGGCGGCCAAATGTTAGTGGTGGACAAAACGCTATTCAAAGGTAACGTTTTAGAAAAGTAGTTTAATTAAAGAAAAATATATGGCCATGTCGAATGGTATCGGAACTAAAGAATTATTTTTTTTGCACTATTGTTAAATAAAAAATCAAATAATTGTTAGTCACTAAATTGTTACAGCAACTTAAATTATTATTTTTTTATCGGTAATGAAAAAGCTGGTAATTATTTTGTCGTTAAAAACGAAACTATAGTGCT